ACCTCCCTTTCCCCTTTTTTTTTTTATTTTTTTTTTTTTTTTTTTTTTTTTTTTTTTTTTTTTTTTTTTTTTTGGGCAAGTGGGGGGGAAGTGGCTACACCCAAACCCACACTTCTATACATCATTTCAATTCAACCACATGTGGAAATCTTTTTTCTTCTTCTTCCTGTATGCCCCTTCTTTTTTTTCCCCTCTTTTTTTCTTCCCCCCCCCCCCCGCGCCTATCCTAAAGTGCTCTGTTATCCAGAGCTCTGCTATAATACACATAATTAAGTATAAACTCTCTTCTAACAAAGCTATGTATGACCAGACAAAATGTGATGAAGACAAGGCTGAGGGTTATCTGGCACAGGTTAGTGCAGGAGTGGTGGTGACCTGTGTAATAAGTTATTTATTGAGTTACCTGAGGACAATTGAAATAGATTATGCACCAGTTTGTTAGTGGTTCTTTAGTTAAAAGGTCACTATATGAACATAGCACAGGGTTTTTTTCTACAGAAGTTCTAAATAAAATTCACTTTGGGAGTGAATTCATTCCCAGCTAAAATCAGCTCTCATGTGTGAGACCAGAGATGGGCTGATCCATTTGTCTTACTTTGAGACCTCCTGTATTTCATAAAATCCCAGAAGGATTTAGGCTGAAAGGGGACTTAAATATCATCTCATTCCAAACCCCTGCCATGGGCAGGGACACCTTCCACCACCCCAGGTTGTTCAGTTTACCAAAGCATGATCAAGAATGAGCAGAAGAGAAAAAGGAAGGGGAAGGAGATGTCTTTAGAAAACATAGTGGAAAATATGACTAGCAAAAGGAAAAGAAAATGCATAAAAATTGTGGAGGAAAAGAAGAGTGAGAAATCCCAAGAGAATACTGACAGGATGTGTATGTGCAAGTAATTTCTTCAGATTTAGCAGCACCCAACTTGTACAAATCTTAGTTTAAATGGATTGAGAATATAATGCTGAAGACTAGAACTTGGATGTGACCCTGTTAATTAAGTTGCTATTATGGAGTTTTTACAAGCCCAAAAATCATTCCCTATTTAAAATGATTGATACTTTTTGAAGAGAGGAGTAGGCACCCATGGCAGCTCTAACATGGAGCAGCACTTTCTCCCTAAGGAGAAGGCTCCTGCCTACCCCGTGCTTTTAGACTGAGTCATTATGGGGGAGAAAACCCAGACTTCAAAGTACCAAATTATGGGTCAACTAATTAATTTTTTAAAATTGCTAGAGAAGCTTCTCCAAAGTTAAATCCCATCAAGTTTCCCCTCATATCCCAACCTGAATCCTTCTCTGTCTAGAGCTATGATTTCTCTGAATCCAGTCTGGATTTATTTCATTTGGATATTGCATTGCCTGTGTGTCATGTTGGCACTGTGGTACCAATTAGATGGTGTGAGTCCATATAGCAGAGGTGGTGAGAATTACTATTAAAAAGCATTTTTTTAGCAGTGGTAGCCTAATAGTTCAATCTCAAGATTCAGGGGCCTCATTTCTGCTTCTAAAATAAATTAAACAGTATTGGAATTGGTTCTGTGGCCCAGGGACTGATGGGACAATCTTCCCATGTCTGCAGAGCTGAACCCTTGTAGACTCCAGAGAGATGGCTGTGTTCATACTGCTGAGGGACAACACAGATTTTCACAAGCCACTGATTATTTGGAAGGGTTCAAGCCCAAACCATACCAGAGACCCTTCCTATTGTTTGCTGAGGGACAACACAGATTATCTCAAGCCACTGGTGATTATTTGGAAGGGTTCAAGCCCAAACCATACCAGAGACCCTTCCTATTGTTAAAAGTGTTAAAATATCGCCCCCAATTATTGCTTGTGCCAGGGCCCTGTCACTGCTTAGAGGGATGGAGGCAGATATGGTTCTGGGTTGAAATCAAGGAGTCTGGGCCCCCCTTTCAGCTCTGCCAGAGGCTTTTTACATGACCTTGATCTGTAACTTAGGGTAGGCTTCATTCCATTTAACGTTGACTAATGGCGAGGGTGTCTAATTAAACCAGTCATGTGTGCTCCCTCTCTGATCAGAGAAGGAAGAGAAAGCAAATTCAGGAGGTGAATCATGCTGTTTTAAGGCGAGTGTCAGAGACAAATGAGATGAATTGCCCTCTGGAAGTAGCTATTTCTTTCCATTAACTGAAGAGGAAGTCTACATTAGAAGAGTTTAGACTAGATGCCTGATTTATGAATGGCTGAAGTTAAGTAAAATTAGTCCTGTCCTTAATCTCTATGCATGCCTTTTTCTCCCTGTGCTGAATGATAGAAATAGCACCTTCTGCACCTCACATTTGAAGGCACCATTGGACAAGGAGCATCCTCTGGAAAGAAATTAAACCTAGGAGCAAAAATACAACCATTAGAGAAGCCAAGCCCTTGCTCTTGAAACATGTCAATGACAACATGAGCAGGACCACTGGGGGCATTCCAGTGCTTTTGCCATTTTCCCCCTTCATATTTTGTCAGCAAAACACCCCTAAATGAGTGTTCCAAATATATCCAGGGGCAGTTGGCCTGTTTTGGGTGAGGGCAGTAGGAGCACTGAGGAAGGCTGACCGTGCAAGGATGTGTAGGGTCCAGTCCTGGTCAGCAGCTTTGGAGGTTTTCCTTGGATACTGCTCTTCTCAACTGACAGGGACTAATTACTTTTTGGAAAATCCCCCAGAGGAATGAAAGCTAATGACTAACTATAACAGAGTTAAAGAAAGAAAAAAAATAAGGGGAGAAGAAAAGCTTGCATTTTCTTAGCAAAAATCCACAATATCTAAACCAGGCATGGAGTAATTGTTAATAAGTTCTAGGTACATATGAGGCTTGCTTTTGGAAGGGAAAGTTTCCCTCTTTAACTACTTTGGGTAGTTAAAAGAGAAAAAAAAAAAAGAATGACAAAAAAGACTTTGTGGGTGTCCTGATGAGTGCTTATTTGATCCAAATTGTCATATGTTACATGTGTATGGGCACAACTGTGCTTGATAAGACTTTCACCAGCACAACTATGTCCAAAACACAACCCCCTCACAATGTTTCTGTGTTATTGGGGGTAGCTGAGATACCTGTAAATCCATTAAATCTAGTAACAGGTCCTTAGAGACCGTTTTGGGGGATTTTTTTGGGGGGGTGTATTAAATTACTAAATCTTGTTATTAACGCTTTTATTTTATGATTTGCTGTTTCCAGGGCACAGACAGAAGCTTGATGACTCTAAACCTAGTTTGTTCTCTGAGCGCCTCAGTGATTTAGGGCGCATTCCTCATCCCAGTATGAGAGTAGGGGTCCCGACCCAGAGCCCACGGCCCTCTCTGAACTCTGCACCAAGTCCTTTTAATCCACAAGGACAGAGTCAGATTACAGGTAAGAGACAGAACCATAGGTTTGACTTGCACAGGCATTGGTAGTAATTGCTTATGGATATTTGTGTCTCAGCTGCAGTCAAAGAGGCTGTTATAGAGTGGGGGATGTTCTCCAAGCAAAGCTAGGTGGGAAGTGGATTTTTCTATAGTGCTTGAAGCTGAAAATGTAATTTTTAAAAAATATATTTTTGCCATAAATCTAAAATAGTCAATCCATGTCATTTGAGTAGGGATCTGGTGAAATTCTAACTGCCACATTGCTCTGCACTGCCTTCTCCATGTTGCAGTAGTACCTTTAGTGTACAATAGAATGAACATTTTTATTCAGCCTTGTTATTTTGCAGTTGTGTTAAGGGAAGCAGCCAGCACTTAATGGTCTTTTTATCAGAATAATAATACAACCTTCTCACGTGGTGGTTTTGTTCCACCACCAGTGCTGACCACGGTTACAATAAATGAACTGGGTTATGGAGAAATCTCCAAAGGTTGCTCGTGAGGGTTGTATGCAACATTTATGATTGCATGCTGAGAGACATATTTCATTGTGCTGAGAGAAATCATAAAGCACCCACCATGTGTCACAGATTAGAAGGCTGAAATAAGATGTTTAACTGCAGCTATGCCAGAAGTTTGCAGCAAAACTGTGAAGCCTACAAGAAAAAAAATGTTGTTTTTTCTAAAGTCAGAGCTGGTTTAATTTTTCAAAATATATTCAAAACAACTTCTATCTAATGCAGAGCATTTCTAGATTCTAAGTTTGTGCTGACATGTTTGTGTCTATCCAGGATGTAAAGAGGTGTTACCCCTGACCAGTTGCTAGAATTGTTGGAGGACTTCACCTAGATGCAAGTCTGTCAACAAAGCTCTTGGCTCAATTCCCTAGACTGATTTAATATTCACTTCTGCTGCTACAGTTCCATCCACAGCAGAGTTCTTTGCCAGCATTTTACACCAGCATTCCTTTCCTGGTAAAGCACTCCTAGTATAGACATTGTCTTTGAGTCAACCTAGGAAGATTTCTAGTTTCATGTTTCAAGTGGTTTTGACATGATACCAGCTGAAACTCAGTGGTTTTAACAAAGTGTTGTGGCTTTCTTCTTCTCTCTTTTCCTTCTTTTTTTAAGTTCAACTGGTTTATTAATTTGCAGTAAGAAAGAAAAGTGAGTTAATTTGAACCCAAAGCACTCAAGGAATTGCAACAAAAAGATCGTTCCCATGAGCTGTGGCAAAGTTCTCCCAGATCTATAAGTCTAACTTTAACTAGTGTAAAATGTTTATAATATATTAAATATGTTGATTATACCCATTACATAGTACCTGCTGCCCCCCAGCTTCCCAGAGCAGGTTTTTTTGGCTAGGCTTCACGTTTTGTTCATTGGACATGTGAAGTCAGGGCTCTTGTGCATATAATTTTCTGGGTAAGAACTGGTGAACTAAAACACAATATTTTTTTATAACCAAGTCTTCTGTCTGGCAATGTTTGTAGATATAGTTCCCAAGAAAGCAAGGGGGAAATCCAGGCTATAAGCAGTTTTTTTCCTTCTTCCTTGTACCTCCATAGTTTACCTATTGTGCAACACTATATCTAGGAACGAAAGAGGCTGAAATTCTTCCTGACCCCATCTGGTGATCAGCTTATGCCCTGAAGCACAAGAACTGAGATCCCCTTGTAATTTTCTTCCTAACTAAGTGTAACCTCATATGCTGCTCTCCTCACATAAATGCCTCCTGTAGAAAATGTTCTGCTGGCTTTGATTAATAGACTACTTCTCTGCCTCGTTATGAGGCAGCAGCAGCATTTACAGATCTGGGAGATGAAAGCTTCAGATGAGCTTTCAATAAGCCTGACTGGAAACAAAGTTGTGTGGCATTCCCTGCCTTCTCTGCAAATTTAAGGCAGCACCAGCTGAGACTTCATCGAGAGAGGGAAGATGCAGTGCTGGTAGGGAAGAGAGAAGTGAGCTGAGGGATGCAGGCTGGATTTCCTACCTTTTGTGTATTATGTGCTTTTATTGTTGGATAAATTCAAGGTTATGGGATGCATTAGAATCCCAAGATGCTCTGATATCCCCCATAATGGTGAGGACTCTGTAGTGAATAAGTGATCTGATACAGTATTTCTGATGTTGTTTCCCACCCTCAGAAAAGTCCAACAGCCAACTCTCTGTTTGCTTGCTGGTGGTCATCCCATTCAATTAAGTGATTGGTGTGAGCATGTTAGGTGGGTGCAAGCTCTTGGAATTGCACTGGCTTTTCACCAGGCTTTTGGGTGCTCTTTGGGACCTTGATTGTAATCTGTAAAGCTCAACATGCTCTCTTGTTCCACCTAAGTGCTGGGATGCTTTTCTGCAGACAGTCCCAATTCTAGGATATTTCTTGTGGGATGGATGGGTACTCTTTGCTCCACAAATCATGTCAAGGAGATATAAAGGGGATGCCATGGACAAGGCACCCTTTGGTCGAGTATTGAGTGGGAAATTGCTGAACATACCCCTGCTTGGTGTGGTGGTAGGGAGTGAGGTGCTTGGGCTGTCCTTCAACACCAGTTTCCCTGTTGTAGTGGAATACTCAGAATGCCACTGGCTTCTTAACATAAGATTTGAGTATATGTTAAAAGAGGAATAAACCTTTCTGTCTGAAAAACAGGATTTTTAAATTACCTTTATTGGAATTAACCAAGCATTCCTTTAGAAATACCATGGTTTCATTATCTCTTTACTTAGCTGTTATTTAGGGGAAATAATAAATTTCTAATAACTGGAACAGTAAATACTGGTTTCCTACAAAAAATCCATATTATTGCTAGTAAGCACATTTTGCTTCATTCCACTTGAGGCCTTGCATAGCTATTGCATGATTAAACAGACATATTATTTAAAGTCTGGCTGACCCACACCTGAGTCTGAAAGAACTCAGCACTTTAGGGTTCACTCTTATATTTCTTTTCTCTGTCTAGGTTGTGTTTATTTTCCTGGAGTATCAGAGTACAGGTTGTACAAATCACAGCACAGTCCTTAACCTACCACAGGACTGGGCTGTGGCAGGACAAGGCACAGAGTTGCCCTTATTCAACATGGCATTTTAACTAGGATTCAGCAAAAGCTACATCGAAGGGTGATTAAAAAACAAATGGTCCAATAAGCAGCTGCCTTTGCTGAGGCAGTGCAGATCCAATTTGAACCCTGCCTGCTGCCCGTAAATCAGGAATCCTGTCCATTCACATTTGTTCACTGGTATATTTGCTTTTTTTATTTTTTTCCCCTTTCCCTAACGGGCTCATGCAACTTGTTCATGTATCCGATTACATTCCCGTTCAGACACTGAGCTGTTGCATCAGTGTTCCAGTATGAGATGAGGAAAACTTGGGTTTTTTTTAAGATGCAACTGGTGAGGATTAGCTTCTGTAGGCCAGGAAAAGCCACAGGTGTAATGGCAGGAATGTGGTCGGTGTGAGGATCCCCATCGGCTGGGCTGTGGGGACAGCAAAGTGGGAGTTAAGTGAGGTTTCATGCTCCATCACCACTGTGGCACTGGCTGATCTATAGGCAACCTCTGACTTTCATCACTGAAATAACAGCCCTCAAAGGCAAGTCCTGTGAAACCTTCACTTTCTTCCCTTTTCCTCTTCCCCTTCTCCACGCACTTCAGGGATGTTATGCTTCCATTTCTCATTGTTTTTTAAGCAGATTTAAAGTCTCCAGAGCCAGCTTAACAGGAAGGTAGTGAGGGGGATACATCTTCACTGACAAACAGGGACTGATTTCAGGGACAGTGCAAACTGAATCTGCAGTCTGCTGCACTTTATGCAAATTGATTGCATCCTCTGGTTGACTGGCAAGTTGCCATTATGGACCTCCATTTCATAATGCTTGCCCCCCTCCTATTATTCTTTTGTCTTTTATTTCCCTCTACCCTCTTTTAAAAGTTCGTTGCCCACTGGCATGATTCATTGAGTTTATCTTTTTTTTTTTATTTCAAAAATGTGACTCTTGGAGGGGTGGGAGGATAAATGGATTTGGAGGTTCTTCAGGCCAAAATCTGGTCTCAATTACTTTTCTGTACATTGGGGTGTAACTCCACTGGATTTGACTTTGTTGATTGAACTGGGCAATACAGATGAAGCCCTGGGCTTTAAAGGATGCATAAAAAAGAGTTAGAGAAGGGAAGAAGGTTGCGTTTTGCTGTTGTTGTTTTGCTGAGGGGGTTGGTGTTACAACAATAGTTGGGTTACTCATGCAGAAAGTCATCTTGGCTTTGTTAAGATCAGAAGCGAGGATATTTGCTCTAAGTGTTTACCAAAGATAGCTCCAGACAGCTTGTTTTTTACTATTGGCACTAGCACTAATCCAACTAGCAGCAGCCAGAGCTAGAGCTGATGGCTGGGTTTAAAAGAGAGTATGATGCATGTGATGTCTGGTATTAGAGACAGTACACCAAGGAGCTGCCAGCCTGTGATCATGGTCTGGTCATGTAACTCAGCTTGGAAAAGGGGGAATTGGTGGTTTTTTTTCCTATAGAAAATCAGTATGCTTCACAATCCAATGCCAAAGTAGTGGAAAAAGTTGTTCTTCAGGGATACTTGCAGGTTTTTGCTTCTGTCCATTGACACTTCAGAATATGGAAGGTGTCCCTCCCCATGTCAGGGGGGTTGGAATTAGATGATCTTTAAGGTTCCTTCCAACACAAACTATCCTATGATGATTTCTGTTGGAAGAAGAGAAGTTGTGATACTGGAAAGCCAATGTCACTGGTGGGAGAATGGGCCACTGGATGGGTTTTTTCATTCTTTCCTTTATAATTTTAGTTTTATGTGGTGCATCTACTCTTGGACTAATTTTTAAAGACTCTTATTTTCCATTAAGCATCAATATCCACCGTCCATTTAATGCAGTCAGTCAGAGACAGCAAAGGTCAAGAACCCTGCGTATGTCCCATGACTATAAATGTGACAGCAAAACCAAGACACAAAATAATATGCAATATTTCCTGCTTTGTGGAGGTTCACCTGGAAGCGCAAACAGGATGGAGCTGTTTGCACATTAGTTTAGGCCTCGCCCCGCTGATTTGTTTCAGCTGAACTGTGCCCAGGCTGTCTCAGCATACCCACAATATGCCCTGCTGTGAAGGAATACGCTGAGAGCTGCACTTCCCCTCACACCCACGCAGGCATAACAGAAATGTTTACAAAAGGAGGACTGCTCTTAGTAATCACTCCAAAGTTTTCGAGTGTAAATGCCAGCTCAGAGTGGCCCTCTGACTCCTTCTCTGTTGCTGAATGCTCTGTTAGCCTTTCCCTGTGGCTGCCATATGGAAATGAGGGTGGCTTTCTCCTGGGCAGTTAATTTTATTTTTATATTAAGTATTTTTCCTTGTTTTGGAGGGATTCCTTTAGGGAGGAATCCAGATGCACTCAGAGCTTTAAGGTTTCTCATCTGTTCTGGGCTTTTTTGTGATGGGAAGGTGTGCTGTCCTGCAGAGCATGTGATACTTTGGGTGATGGTGCAAAGTCCCTGGCTAGCAGAGATACTTGCACACGTGGGAGCCCACCAGCTAGATACAGTAGGGAAGCTGGCCTGTGGTGTAGGAGGCCAAGGAAAACCTCTCACAAATCACCTCTCAGCTTCTTCCCCAGCAGTGTGTGTTAAATAGCCATCCTACTCCTTTTGGGCCAGAGCAAGGAGGAGGTGACCCTCTGAAGGGCCTCATGTTTGCCTCAGCAGCATCTGTGTGGATCTGCCCTCCAAGTGCTGTTGTGGCAGCTGGCACATCCCTGTGGTGCCCCCAGCACCCTCCTTCCCCCAGGAGGTTTGATGGTGTGTGGGACCAGAAGAGATGTTCTGGTGGGCCTCGGTGGCCAAAGCCAGTGCTCCAGCACCACTGCAAGGACCATCTCCATGTGAACCTGAGAGTGCCACATGAGCTGCGCGCCCACCTTCAGGGACTGTCTGGGGAATCTTTGGGCTCTGCCTCCTGGCATTTCTCACTGTGAATTTGGCAATGCTGCTGAGCAGTGACGTTTGCCCTGTGGGCTCGCAGGTCACCTTTGACTTGGCAAGGCGACAGTGTTTCACCACTCTGTTCTCTCACGTCCATGCAAACCTTGACTGCCATCAGGCAGCAAGGGCTGGCTTTAGGGCATTTGCTCTGGGATCTGGTGAAACTTGTATTTTCACTTTCTGGTTTCCTAACGGGTCACAGATATCTTGAATTAGTCATTCCCCAGGGGATATTACTCCCAGGGTAATATTTCCCACCCTGCCTTGACCATGACCTCAGCCATGCCTTGGTGTGGAGGAATCTCAATAACCCTCTGGCCTGAGGTACTGTGACCTGCTCCTCAGTCACTGAGCTCTGATGAATCATCTAATGTTCAATTTGGTTAAAGATTTTCCTCTTCATTATTTCCTATTCCCTGGGAAGACTGATGTATTTAGGTAGATGTTGAAAGAATATATATGTTTTGGGGTCCAGTGATGGTCCATCCAGCCCTAAATCTTGCTTCTGACAGTGCAGTATGAGATACTGTTTTGAAATACCACATGCACCTCCAAAGACCACTTTTTGCTATTTGTCATTCTTGTGTCCACACAGACACTCACAGTTGCTAGATTAAGGGTGTTAAGTATAAAACCAAGTCTAGCATGGGTGTTCAAAGCGATGAGAGTGCCAGAGATGCTCAAGAAGTTCTTGTGCTATGAGGATTACACTATCAGGAGTGGCATGAGCCTCCAGAAAGGCGACTCTTTTTCTGAGCTTTCCACCATCTTAGACCAAAATGATGTAAAAACATCCTCTACTATGACTTTTTTCCCAGCCTTTACCTGCTATGTTATTTCCTCCTAGCGTTGCAGCTGACCTAAACCCAAAACTTTAGGGGCTCTGTTTTCAATTCAGAAGCAGAGATTGAAAAGGTCTTGGAGTTTGAAGGATCTTGGATTTGAGATTGTGCTCCTAACACACCATTAATTTTAAGATTGTTTTTCCAGCAAGCCTAGGCTTTCTGTTCCCATTCAAAGATCATTTACCATTGACTGTATGGTGAATTATTGTAGTGGAATGAGGCAGAGAAATATGTCAATATCAGATGTAACAATGAGCAGTCAGCCAGATTTGAACCTATGCCAATCTATACAACCCTGGGCTTGAAATTGTTAAAACAAAGAAGTTCATTACATTTAATGATCAAGTGTCCTTTGGATCTCTAAGAAGTTTATGTTAACCATTTATATTACTCAGCTCGAATATAAATGGCAAACTCCAGGAAAATCCTCTTAAAATTAAATTGGAAGGTGTTTTTTTAATATATATATCTATGCAGTTATTTTGCTTCAAGGAAGTATCTGCTTTCCAGACATTTCTTCAAACAAATCATGTCTGAAGAGAAATAATAAACAAGAAGTAGCTGAAACTACAAGGTTTTGCTGTGTGGAAGAGCAGGGAAAGGAGTTAAAAAAAGAAAAAAAAAGTTGAATTTCCTGAAAAAGAGCCTTTGGTTATGCCATGTGGCTGTCACATTACTGTCTGCAAAGCAGGGCTTTAGCACAATGTTCTGATAGAGCAGGTTCTCCAAATTGAGTATACTTGATGTGCTTCCCTGAAAATAGAGGGCAGGCTTTGAAGGGATGTGCTACAATTTCTGTGAGCTGGTCCAGAGATAGTTTTCTGTTTATTATGCAGTGCCCCAAACAAACTTTAGAGTTGAAAGTGTTTTGGTTCTTTTGATGTAAGGAAATAAAAAACATAATTTATGAGGCATTCAGTGGTATCTTTATCATTGGATATTAACTGAGAGCAAATGATTTATAAATCCAAACATCAGTGAGTAAAAGTAGGTCTCCTTCTACCAATGCTTCAGCAAAAATTGATCTGTGTTTATCCTAAAGAGAATTTCCTCCATAGTGAGAGGTTGCAAATATATCAGCAGGTATCATTAGCTTCTGATAGTCATCCCAAACCATTTGGTTTCATATTTTGTAATTGAGGGTACTGTAAGTAATTGGGTCAGCATCCAAATGTGACATTTTTTTGACAAATGCTGATAAGATTAATGACATTTTTCTCCTTGGGTAGTATTTTCAGCATTGAAAACACTATTGTGTGATGTTTGAACAGGATAACAGCTTGACAGGTTTGCCAAGTGCTGACTGTAGAGTCTGCCCACCTCTGAAGGAAATGGCCTTAGGTTGTGACAGGGGAGATTTAGATTGGATCTTATAAAAATTTTCTTCACTCAGAGGTTGCTCAGGAACAGGCTGCCCAGGAAAGTGGTAGAGTCACCATCCCTGAAAGTGTTTAAAAAACTTGTAGCTGTGACACTTAGAGACATGGTTTAGCAGTGGACCTGGCAGTGCTGGACTCGGTGGTCTTAGAGGACTTTTCCAACTGTAAATGACTCCATGAAGTCCACTTCCTAAGATCAGACCTGGGGCTCATTCTTGTTGTCTGCTTCTCTTTCTGATTCTGATACCAACTCGTGGTATAATATGTTTGAAGAGGGACACCAAGAATTTGCATCCCAGCTTCTAGACCTTTTAAAACTCTGCTCTCTGGTCTGTTAATTTCCCACAGAAATTGTTCTGGGGAGGGAAAAGCACAGACCAAGACTTGGAAGGGCTGAGTGTTGAGGAGCAAGTTGTGTTTCATTACATTCTCACTCTTCATAGTACTGATGTGTTTATGTTCAGTAATCCCTCACTTCTTTCAATTAGGCTGTTGATACCTTAAAATTTTTCTTCCTTTAAAAAAAAAAACCTCTTTTTTTTTTGTTTGTTTTTATTTTCCCCCTAGACCCCAGGCAGGCGCAGTCATCCCCGCCATGGTCCTATGACCAGTCTTACCCATCCTACTTGAGCCAGATGACTTCACCGTCCATTCACTCCACAACTCCCCTGTCCTCCACTCGAGGCACGGGACTTCCAGCCATTACCGATGTGCCCAGACGCCTCTCAGGTAAAGACTCTGTTTTGCCTAAAACAATTATGCAGAGAGGAACAGGACTGGCAGCGGCTGCCTCCGTGGCCTCAGACAAACCTTGGCAAGGAGAGCAAACCTCAGCAGTGGTACCAGGGTTCCTGCATGGCAGGCAGGATTCAAAATCCCTTTTTTTTAAAGTGTGGAAGAGCTGCTGTGTTGCTCTGAACATGTTTCTCTCAAATAACTTTAGGTCCATTTAGAATCAGATTATTTTTAAATTGTGAACCTGATTCTTTGAACAAATTATCTTTTTTTTTTCTTTCTTTTTTTTTTCTTATTTCCCCTACAAAAGGATGTTTACTAGCATGTTGTTAGGTACTGGCACAGGTTTCCCATAAAAGCTGTGGCCGCCCCATCCCTGGAAGTGTTCAAGACCAGGTTGGAAGGGGCTTGGAGCAACTTGGTCTAGTAGAAGATGTCCCTGCACACGGCAGGGGGGTTGGAACAAGATGATCTTAAGGTCCCTTCCAACCCAAACCATTCTGTGATTCTGTGTTTTAAAGTAAATGTTATGCTCTCTATTTTTTGGTGTTTTACCTTTGTGGTATGTGTGTTGCTAGGCATCCTGACAGATAGATGCCTTTATTTCTTCAGTAGTTAGGGCTGAGGTTCATTCTCCTTTATTTCAATCCAGTAACCCAAGAAAGACTGTTTCCTTAGTTAATATGTACTCAAGAAGCCTATCAGAAACAAGCTGAGTCACTTAAAGGTAAAGATTGGACAAATTGTGCTTTGGAATGATACAGGAGAGAGGAAGTACATTTAGGAACATAGAGAAGACAGTAGTGAGGTACTGAGACTTTTTTACCAAAAAAATGCACATTTATATATTGCACAATTCACCTCTAATGGTCTCAGTGATAAAACCATCTGTGTAAAGTAATCTGATTGCCCCAAAGTAAGAAAGAGCCTGTCATGGCACACAGTCACCTTGTACCTCTTGCCAAAAACTAGGAACCTTAGGGGAGGGAGGCTCAGTCTTAAAACTCCAACCTTGCAAGTGTGGAAATATTAGCAGCGTATGCCAAAAAAGCATGTGTAATGTAAAGACAGCCTTTATGATTCATTAATGAAAACCAAAGAATCAGTCTTATTACATCTATTTTTTGCATGTTTGCAAGATATTATTATAATCTTGGATGCTGCTGCCATACACCTGTTTGATTCCCAGCCAGGTGAATTTCTTGCTGTTGTGTTTTCCCCTTCCACCAAGCTCATAGCACTGGAAATGCTGATCACTCCACTGAGCTGCATCCCTGACAAGCTGAACTGCAGCCAGCAGGCGTGGAGGATTTGATTAGCATAGACTCCTCGATTTCTTTCATCTTGGAGGAGGGAAGCTTTGTTTCTCAAACAGCCAGCTGCAAACCCCTCTGCAGCCCTAGTGCACTCTGCCTGCACAGAGATGCCAAAGATCTCCATGTGGGCTGAGGGCTGGAGGGTTTTGGAGCAGGTTCCTGCGGGCTCTCCATGCAACACCATGACTTGGGTCAAAAAACTCGATCGGCTTGATGCTGAGGAAATGCTTTGTTTGGCCCGAAACAGGTTCCCTTTGAGTCAGAGCCTCCTGATGGTCTGTGTTGTCGAATGGGTTATTTTTGCAATCGTGCCCGCGGCAATACCTGCAGGAGAGGCTCGGCTGGGACCTGGCAGCTGCACGCCGCATGCTTGCCCTGCAGCCCTTGCTTGTCTGTGTGTATTCAGACGTGAGCGCCTGGCATGTGGGCACAGGCAGAGTTACTAAAAGACCTGGCTGTGTACGTTGTGTGGCCGTGGACTGAACTTTCCTGCCATGCTCTGTGGCCAGTTGCCTTCGCGCTTTTTGTCCTTCATCTTTCTAGGGCTCGAGTGATGCCTCCGCAATGCCCTGACATTTTCCCAGTGTGGGGATCTTGCTTCCAGTTAGATTCAAGAGTCAAAAAAGGGGACTTTGATCTTCCACAAGTGCCAGAGGTTGTGTGCAGTGTTTGCTGACAGAAATGGAAATTCAGAATAGAAATGCTCTACTCAGAACTAGAGAGAGGCATTCCTGGCTGAAGGACCCACTTGGATGCTCAGGATGCAAGCAGGCACATTGCAGCTTCAGCTGCAAACCTGACAGTGCCTCTCAAGGTTTCCATTGGCAGTGCCACAGGGAGGGAGGGCAGCATCCAACACCTCCTATATCTAAAGAGAGAGAGAAATGCAAGTTTTAAGTTGCCCTGTACAGCAAGAAGTTTATCCCTCATACTCAAAGAAATGCAAATCACCACTCAGTTACTTAATGCATATTTAGAAAAAGAACAGAACTTTGAAGAGGATAGAAAATTACTGCAAAGAAACACTAAATTCCTTAGAAAACTGCAGGCATTTTTAAAGCATGAGGGAGAAATTAGAGTTTTATAAGGCCTTGAATAAAAAAGTCACTTTCCGATACAGTGGCAGAAATCTGATTATCGAGGCTGTTAAAAGTATACAAGGTCATTTTAATGAATGCCATATTTACTGCCTGTTGCTTAACATCATGCAGGAGGAAAAATGAGTAAAACCTCCCCCTTAGCCTTGGCTGTCACACCTACAGGCACAGAACTTCCTATCTGCCCTAATTCCGCATCACCCAGCCTTTCCACCAGCCTCCATGGCTTTACCTGGACAACTGCTAAAGTTGTTCTCACCCAGATGTTGAAAATATTAACATCCAGTAAATCAGAAGTGGCTCCTGGTTTTATTGTCAGTGGCAGCCTTCAGGAGCTACTTTTAATCATTTTCCTTTGACCAAACCACACTCATCCTATGGCCAAAGTGGTGGTGTTCTTCCCCATCTTGGGATGGATACATTAGCCAGCAGTGTGCCCAGGTGGACAAGAAGGCCAAAGGCATCTGGCCTGTATCAGCAGTGGTGTGGCAGCAGGACCAGGACATGAACCATCTCCTTGTGCTGGGCACTGGTGAGGCCACACCTTGAATCCTCTGCTCATTTTTGGGACCCTAATAACAAGAAAGACATTGAGGGGCTGGAGCGCGTCCAGAGAAGGAACGGAGCTGGGGAAGGCTCTGGAGCACAGGTCTGATGAGGAGCAGCTGAGGGAGCTGGGAAAGGGGCTCAGACTGGGGCAAAGGAGGCTCAGGGGGGACCTTCTCACTCTCTACAACTCCCTGACAGGAGGGTACAGCCTGGTGGGACTGGGCTCTGCTCCCAAGTAGCAAGTGATAGGATGAAAGGAAATGGCCTCAAGTTGCACCAGAGGAGGTTTAGATTGGATATTAGGAAAAGAATTCTTCACTGAAATGGTGGTAAGGCATTGCAACAGTCTTTCCAAGGCAGTGGTGGAGTCACCATCCCTGGAAGTGTTCAAAAGGCACATGGCTGTGGCCCTTAAGGACATGGTTTAATGTTGAACGTGGTGATGCTGGGTTTGACACGATGGTGTTTTCCAACCTTAATGATTCCATGAATTTTGGTGATGAGGTTTCCTGTGTCTCAACCCCAGATTAGGCTTAGCATCAGAAGAGGTTTGGGGCTGCAAGACAGGATGTGGTGGGGCACTGCCATAGCAGTGCATGCAGTTCCTATCCCATGGGAGAGGAGAAAAGGGCAGCAGGCTGCAACCCTGAGGAGCTCCTCAGGCAGCTGCTGCAATGCAGCTGAACTGGTCGTGTCAGTGTCTCGGATGATTTCTTTGCACTACTGGCAGGTTTGCATGCATGCTGCAGGCACGTGCACATGTGTGCCCATGGCTGCCAAACTGCGAGTGTTCATCTTCTACATTCTCCAACTGAGGGTCAGTGCTCCGTTTGCACCTACAACTAATCAATTATATATCCCAGGTAGTTGGGCAGTATTCAACAGCATCAGCTGAAAAGCAAAGCATAAAAAATATTATCTGGCATTACTCATGCAACTTTTGAACCAATTATTTTTGTGGTCCAGAAGTTTCACGTTCATATCAAGAACAAATAAAGAAACAAGTTCATGAGGCCATGAAATTACCTTACCTTAAGGTTCCAATCATAAAAAGAGCAGGATTCCCCATATTTTATTAAAATGTCTGTCTGTTCAGACTTCCCCAGAAGACAGTGAAAGTTGGTGGCCCAGCACATTAATATTCTTAATTAAATAATATTGTAGTGGAAGCCATGGGAATATAAGAAAAGGGTCATTTTAGAGAGAGTTTGCCTGAGGGATGTAGTCTTATTGCATGATTCATGGTGAATGCACTCAGTCTTTGTGTCCTATGCATAACCAAAGTGCATGTGGGATGGGGAGCATGGGTGACTATTATGTAATTAATGTATATGATTCATATAAATATACACATCACAGCTGTTTTACATAACACTTTGGGGCTGATCCAGCAAGTCCTCCCCACATGGAAGGTTCAGAGCAGGGAGTACAGGTCGGGTTGTTCTTGCAGTCAAAAGAGGGCTGCTCCCAGGCAGGTGAAGGAGGGATGGGTATAGATGTCCCCAGGGCAGACATCCATTCCTGAGACACTCAGCCCCAACTCCCTTTTGAATCAGTGGGGACAATCTGGCATTTTCAGGACTTGACTGGTCTGCAGGTGATCTGTGCTGGTCCCTGGCAGTGCCTGGGAAGAGCCTGTTTGTCTCTGAAGCGAGCCTAAGTGAGTAGTGCAAGTACAGGCATGTATGATCTGATAGTCTGCCTTTGCTGAGGTGATTTAAGAGACAGTTTAACTGTCCCATAAACATATCCATATCACAGCCTAATTACACTCTAGTCCTGGTTTAACCCTACCTCACCCTGACCTCAACCTTCTCCACTGTTTAAGGCTTTGAGCTTGATTTTAATTTTGTTGAGAATCCTGAGAAGGGTAAGGTGAGGAGACTTCTTCTTCCCCTACACTTTTCCTGGACCTACTCACCCTTCTGTCTAAACACAAGTCTCTTACTTTTTGCTCCACCATTGAGAGAGACTTGCAGGGTCAAGATCTTCAGATACTGGAGGACCTGTCCTGCAGGTGTACCACAAACAT